TCCCTTCTGGGGTGAGGATCTGCCCCTTGCCTCTTGGTCAGGTGCTGTATAAGCATCCCACCCTCCGTGTCCTGAGTCCCTGAATGTTATCTGAGTCATGAGCACGGTGGAAGGCAAGGCTATTAACTTGCCACTGTTATGCAATGTATCTTAAATGCCATACCATCCACTCCTCTCTTCCTCCAATCAAATATTGTGAGGGATACTCTCTGCACCCTATTACACATACAGTTTAGCTGGGAACTTGGAGCCTTGCGAATTGAACACTGAAAGAGCATCAGATAAACTGGCTTGTGTTGGATTTCACTGCGTTTATTTCCTGACTTCACAGAACACTTTTTTCCCCAAAGTGTGGAGTGGTAGTAGCAATGAAGGATAATCCTTTTTGCCAATAATTCTCCAATTTCTCTTCTCTCCTCATGTGTAGAACTATTTGGTCTATAAACCTTTCTGTTTTTCTAGAAACCAAAGCTTCATAAGAATAGCTACCTTGAAGAGTCGACAGCAATTTTCAAAAGCTGCCTCTCTGAAACTTTCAGATGGCAAAATAAATCATTTTGTTTCACAAATTACCTGATTGAAACTCTATATCTGACAAATTCACTCTTAGTTTGGATGAAACTACTCATGATCACATTCATGATTTGCATAACCTTTCAGCACTATGCTTCATTTCAGTAGACGCACTTCCAAATAAAAGCTGAATCACAGTTTGAAAGAACTTACTGAGTATGTACCGGAGTTCTTAAATGTAATTGTGAGATTCAGGTTCCCATTATGAGTCTATGGTTTAGTTAATTTATAATTACACCATAAATTTCCTTTGGTATAAATCCATATTTTCCTTATGCTTATACTTCTTAGAGCTACACTTTTCAGGAAGAGTAGTATAACTCTGTAACACAAAGAAGCTCATTACTCAGTGCTTCACTTGATTAGCACTTTATTCAAAGACCCTTTGGGCCATAATTCTAAGGAAATAAAAGGAATTAAGCCCTGACTAGAGAGCTCCATTGGTTAGAGCGCCGTCCTGACAGGCCAAGGTTGAGGGTTCGATGCCTGTCAGGGCACATATAAGAAGCAACCAATGAATGCGTTAAGTAGAACAACAAATCAGTGTTTTTATGTCTTCCTTTTACTCTCTAAAATCAATTTTGAAAAAAGAACTTAATATGAGTCAAGAAATACAGACTTCTTTAGCTCATACTGCCTCTTAACACTCTTGGGGTCCTGGTTTTTAGGATAGTGTCTGACAGGTAACAAAAATTTTTAAGAAATAAGGTGAATTTTTTCCCAATAGCTAGTCATGAACCCAAAATAAACTGGTTTACCACAAAGCCACGTAATTCAAGATTCCCTATTTTAGTTTCTTTTTGGTCATTCTTAGTCGGAATGTGTGTGATAAGTTCTCAGAGATTCAAGTTAATTCTTTCATGTAATTGAGTACTTACAGTTAATTATTAATGTAACCATCTATTTTAAAAGTATACCACACCCACTTCTGAAAAGGTATGAGGCAGTTTACATAGTTCAAAGGCACACTGCATGTTTAAGTACTAAATAAAATAGACTAGAAAATATAAAGACGTTGATGCCGTCAAGGACCAGTCATGTTCTGCCTTTTTTGAATGGCTCCCCGCCACAGACACTGCCCACTCCCTACAGTCTTCAGTGGAGGCTGTTCTTGAACACACCACTGCACCCACAGCTCGGCTAGTCCAGTGGAATCAGCAGGTCAGTGAGTTGAGGAAGAAAGAATGTGAACTTTGCTTCCTAACTGCCTAGACTTGGAATCATGGCTGTGTACCTTGAGGAAATTATGAAACATTTCAGAGCCTCAGTTTCCACACTGGAAAATGGGGATAAATGATAGTACTTACCTCAGAGGTGAGAATGAAATGAGTTTAGTAAATATAAATCATTTAGAACAGAATTTGGTACACAGTTAGGTGCAAAATAATTATTAGCATCTGCCCATTCAACATTCCCCCAATTCCTATCAAAAGCCTTCTCCCTTTGAAATTCATGCCTCTCAAAATTCTATCCTCCATCCCTTCTTCGTTGTTGTTCTCATCACTCCTTGACATATACCGGAGACTTTGAAACATGGCTTCTGATTTTGTTTCCTCCATCCTAAATGTCCCATAGTCCTGCTTTCTTCAATGTTCACAGGGGTGACCCTTCCAATATTCAATGCTTTGGCTTCTTCAACTGCAATGACCTTTAACCCCACACAGATAGCAACAACTCAGCCTTTTTCCTTTGTGATATTAATTACCTGGAGCTCCTCCACCTGTAACATCTTCAACCACACTGCTTAACTCTTCTGCCACAAGCTCCCATTAGTCTATTTCCGATTACACCTGCCAATTCACCAGAACTGGACTGAAGTCCTATCCTTTCACTCTATGTATTAGACTTCCTTCTGATTTGGCTTCCTTCTCCATTAGGCTACCTGTCTTTCAACCTGTCTCTTTAGTCCTTTGACCTGTCTCTTTAAACAACACCTCCAACTTCTCATTCCTCTCGCTCCATTTTCCTTCTGAAGTATTTACCCCAGTGTGGATTGCCCTAAAATCGCACTAAGTAAACCACTCAACTACATGCACTGGAGCCATGAACTCATGGTCTCTGCCCTCAGCTGAGCCTCAGCACAATCTGAAAGCCCCTCACCAGTTCCACACTTCTTTGCAAACTTCCCACCTACTGCTCTCTCATCTCCCACATACAGCCACCAAGATCTACCAAAACCACTTCCTAAATATGTCTCGAATCTGAAAGACCCTCTTTATTTTTCTCTGCTTCTCTTCATCTCTAATCATCTCTTTTCTCTCCTCCAAAATTTTCTCTCCTCCTCTCTGTTGCCAAAGTGATCTACCAGAAGTTAAGTACCATTGTGTTCCAGACATCCGTAACATGCATCAGTTTCTCCCCACTGCTCTGCTCTTGTACCTTACACCGCATACCAAAGCTTGGCCCCAAGCCCTCTGCGACCAGGCCCCTGTCACCTCTCTATGTTTCTTTCTTGACTTGCCCAGCCTGTACTCTACACACTCAAGTACCTGTACTTCCTTGACTGTGCCATGCTTTCCCAGAACCCATGCATCTCCCTGCTACCTCCTTTTCAAGGAATGCCCTTTCCCCCTCCTTTTTTCTACCTCTACAATTCTTCTTCCTGGTCTTTTAGGGTCCAGTTCGAATGTCACTTCTTGTCAGCTCCAGTATAGAGACTTCCCTGACCCTCCCCCCACCTTTTCCCTTCCTGACCAGGCTGGTGGAGTGTTTCTCTTTGTCCTTCTTTGTGCATATTCAAGTATTTGCCATTGGCTCCCCAGGAACTGGCACCAGTAAATGCTTAGTGAATTAGTGAGTAAATGAAGGCATCCCATATCCATAAAATAATGCTAAAATTATAATGACATTTCATTTTATATGTCCATTTAGAGTAGAGAAGTTTAAAACTGAGGCACAATTAGTTTTGACATGGTGAATATGACAGAGTAACTGGACACTCCAGTTAGCTGGCTGGTGGCTCAAGCTCTCAAGTAACTGGCTGAGCAATGAGCAAGGACGTGATGGACAGTTATTACTTACCGAGCAACGCTAGGAGCCCAGCAGTACATCGGGCACCCTGGGCTGTCTTCTGGCTCCCCTCCTGGCAGCAGGAACATTTAACATTTCCAAGGGTCACATCCCCACATATCAACACTTAGACGTCACAGAAAGGTCTGCTTCACCCTTGTGTTTCTTTGATGAATAGGCAAAAAAAAAAAAAAAAAATCCTTTCCCAGAGCCTCCCCTTACCTCCACCTTAACAATATTTCCTTCCAATCTCAATGACCAAGCCAAGTTATATTCCAATCCCCTAAACTGGTCACAAGCAGGCATGGGAAATGGGCATTATTTCGGCACAGGATTTACCCGAGTCAGCTAAGGGAACAGGGCACTAAAATGAAATTGCACTCTGACTGAGGGTGAGGAGGGAAATGGCTGTTGGAAGGCAACTAGCTGTCTTTGCCAAAACGAGAGTCATTGTCAAATACATGTCGGATTTGGACTCAGACACATCCTAGTTTGGTTCCCATGGCCTCCATTTCCTAGTGGGTGCATGTGTGACCTGGGGAAGTTCCCTTCTCCTCCTTGAGGATCAGTTTCCTCCTCTGTGAAGTGGAGATACCACAACCCAGCTCTTAGCATTACTGTGAAGACTGAATGAAGTAACACACACAATGCTGCCTATTGCAGTGAGCTTCACTCATTCATTGAAAGCTATTTTTTGACATCTATGATGTGCCAGGTATTGTGCTGGGGATACAGCTGTAAATAAGATAGACATGATCACTCTCTGCATATAATTTATTAGCATTACATGTCAGGTTTTTAGAAGTTTTCTTTTTTTTTTTTTGCTGATTAACAAATTCAGAAGCACTTCGATTACTTTGACAATCACATTTTAAAGAAATTCAGGGTTTTCAGGAGGGCTTATGGTTCCTGAAGTTTCACGTTTAATGTATGAAGGTGTAGAAACATTTCTCTTTTTCCTTTTGTTTGTTTCTGTTTAATTTAAATTGTCGGAAATATTTATATTTTATATTTTCACTGCGAGTGTTATTCTGATTCCTAGACCAAAGATAACTGGCAAAGTACAGTATCTTTCAAAGTGAACAACCGAGACATTATCCAATGCAATCCTGTAACTCTGAGAAAAAATGCAAATGAATAATGTGTAGACCACCCATCTGAGTAGGTATATGCTTGGTCTAAAGTCAAAACCTATCCAGTTAGTGGGGATTAATCTTCACATAACAGGAGCAATCAGGTAATTAGGGTGGCTCATTCCCCAACCATGACTATTAACAGTTCTCTTAATCAAATGACAATACAGTTAAACAAGCAACACTAATCTCTCCAAGAAACACCAATATTACATATGCTTGAAAGTATAACTAAGACAATATTGTAGCAGGGTAAGGAGTCTTTCTTACCTTAACCTTTTGTTTGGGATACAGGAAGAAAAATGGTTTTAGAACAGGAGATCTAGAATATGATTTAAAAAAAAAGAAGAGACAATCAATATTAGGTTCACAACTGAGGGTCCAGGAAAAAAAGAGGTGGGGTTTCCAGACCTTGGCTCACCAGTCATGTCCAACCCACTTCTACCCGGTGTTCTTAGTGACCTCTACACCAGTCTATCATTGTGTACATTTCCCTCTGAGCCTACCAAGAAGCACTCAGATTTCCTCATCAGAAAGTGCCTTTATAGACGCAAAAACCATGCATTAGTGGGTCCTTAAAAGTTGAATAAACAAGTTGTTTTTCTAGTGCAACTTCTGGATTTTCACCAACACAGTCCTTCTTCCAGTCTCCTGTGAGACCAGGTAACTATCTCATAGAAGTCTGGGTACAGCCAGGGCATAATTTCTAGACATGGGCAGAGAAAAATGGCCGTGCATGGGATCTAATATTTAAGCTTAACCTTAACAACAAATATAAGGGTCAGAAGGAAATCCACTTATCTAATGTGGACAGACAACAAAGTATAACAGAATCCCACAAAAGTTTTAAACAGCAACACAGACACAGAGAAAGCATCGAATATTTGTGGACCAAACTGACCAAGGGTTGAAACTAGAGACAAAGTATGTTATTATTAAATTGCATGGTAAGATGAAGTTTATGGGACCAAATATCTTGGGATCCCTAAACATTTTTAAACCTTTTTATAGTGAAATACAATACTTATAGAGAAAAGGTCAAGGAGAAAACAGCCTAGACTAGCTTCCATGTAATCACTACTAACATCAAGAAACAGATAGTTGTCTGCAGGTGGGAAGGTCCCCTCCAGCCTCTCCCAGTCTCTGCCATCCCCAACCAAGGTCGTCACAACCCTGACTTGGATGAAAAGCATTTCCTTGCTTTCCTTTATAGTTCTTCCACCTACGCATGCATTCCCAAACACAAGTTTATTTTTGGCTGTTTTTTTTTGGATTTTGTATAAACAGAATTACACTACATATTCTTTGGTTCCTGGCTTCACTGGATGTTATGAGTGTGAGACTCACGTATGTTTTTGAATGTAGCTGTAAATCATTCAGCTGAATACAGTAAAGTTTCATGACTGTACAGTAGTCCACTGAAATAATACAGCACAACTTATTTATCCATTCTGTTCTTAGATGTCTCAAAAAGTCAAAGAAGTTTTAATCTCTTTTTTTAACTCGGCAGACTCTCACATGGTGAAGATATGGACAAGCATTTGACTTTGTTAAGTTGTTTCATTTAAGGGAGAGAAACAAAACGGTATCTTGAATTCAGTGTGTTTCCGAAAAGGAGCAACTGGAAAGGCTTGATTCTGATTGGGCTGGCAGGGAAGGCAGGTGGGGCAAAAACTGATTTTTTTAAATGTGTGTAGATGAGTTAAATTACTTATGAATTGCATTTCAAGAGAGCAAATGGGGTGATACACACTGTATTTCTTACAGAGGGGTAGCTTGGGTCTGATGGTATTAAGAATTTTGCCCTAGATAAGTTCTCCTATACACGCAAAGAGAAAAAAAAAAGTAAAGTTGTGCTCTCCAAAGGAGGAGTCACTAACTACATTGATTGAAATTCAGTAAAATTAAAAAGTAAGTCCCTCAGTCACACTGGCTACATTCCAAGTGCTTAGTAGCCCACGAGGCAGTGGCGACAGTGCCGCAGAACGCAGTCCTCATTTCCACCAGCACAGAAAGTTCTACCAGACAGCACTGGTGCGGGAAGTAAAGGCAAACCATACTTTTACTATCAAAAGCCAGGAAACAACCATACGTCCGTGAACAGGAAAATGGGTAAGTAAATGGAACACTATACAATAGTGGAAATAAGTGGTTACATGCATCAACACGTGGATCGCACAGATGATAACACGGAGGGGCAAAAGACCTGTATTTCAGCACCATTTAGACATAATAATCCTGAGTGTGATTTGGGGATCCATGTGTAGCAGAAGTGTTTTAAAAATGCACGAGGATGATACACACCAAATTCAGGACCATAGTTACCTCTGGCGGTGAGGAAGGAGATGCAGTTAGAGAGGAGTGAAATTGGGCCTACCTGCACACCTGTACAGGTTTGTTTTCTTTTCTTTCTTTTTTTAAAAGATTTTATTTATTTATTTTTAAAGACAGGGGAAGGAAGGGAGAAAGAGAGGAAGAGAAACACTGATATGTAAGAGAAACATAGATTGGTTGCCTCCCACAGGCCCCAAGTAGGGACCCGGCCCTGCAGCCCAGGCATGTGCCCCAAAAGAGAATCAAACCAGTGACCCTTTGGTTCACAGGCCAGTGCTCAATCCATTGAGCCACACCAGCCAAGGTTTGTTTTATTTATTTCTTCAGGTATAAGTGGGCATACAAGAGTTTGTTATTCTTTATATGTTTGAATATAAGGAATATACATTATTTTCATTTATATATATATTAAATGTTGCAAATAAATTTGAGTAGAGGGAGTTTTATGAGGTTCCAAGAGCTTGGGGCCATGTTTTGCTTATTATGTTCAGTGCCAAGCAAAGTGCCAGGCAAAGTGTAGATAAGCAATTAATGTTTGTTGAATACAACCAAACATACTAAATGAAAGTTCGGGTGATATTATAGTTTTGACTCTTAGACAGAAACAGATGCTTCTACTCTACCATATCAGGGTATCCAGTAACACACAAACAATTTTTTGATCATATGTTCAATTTACAGATATATATCTATAAAATTACATAAATATATAAATATATATGTATATAAATTTATATTTGTATAAATATATATTATATAATATAATATATATTTATATAAAGATATAGTAGATATATTAGATATATATTTATATAATTAGATATATTATAAATAGGTATTAATACATACATACTATATCTATGTAATTACATATTAGACATCTAATACGTATGGCTGGCACCATTCCAGTATTAAGGGTACAATGATGAGCATAAACAAACAACATTTCCTGCCCTCAACAGGCTTATATTTGAGTGTGTGTGGGAGGGGTAGGAAAATATCAATAATGAAGAATATAAATTAGTAAAATAGGTCAGATGGTAATAACTGCCCTCAAGAAAAATAAAGCCAGGTAGGGGGTCCAGAAGTGTTAAGGATCTTGGGCAATATTAAATAGGGTGGCGAGGTTGCTCCCTTTGAGAAAGGGACTTGGACGGGAGACCTGAGGTGAGGGAGGGTGCCATGAGCATCTGGGTCAGAATGAGGAGACAATGCAAAGGCCCTGAGGCAGCCTGGAAGGGAGGGCAGTATGGGAGCCGGACAAAGTGGGGAGAAGGTCAGGGCCGGAGAACAGAGCCTGCAGGATGCCCTTCGGCATCTACTCCAGGCCAGATTACAGATTTGGAACAAAGGAGTGATGTCATCCTGCTCAGGTGTTTGAAAGGTCACTCTATTTTGAGCACAGATTACAGTGGGAATCAGGAAGACCAGTTAGGAGATCATTGTGATAATTCAAGCCAGAGGAGATGGTGGCTGGAACCAGGGTGGCAACAGTGAGGGTAACATATTTTGAAGACAAGGGCACAGAACTCTGGCCGATGGACTGTGTATACAATATGAGGAAAGGGAGGAGTCAGGGATGATACAAATTTTTGGCTTCAAGTTGGCATTTACTGACAAGGGGAACTAGGTTGAGTTTGGCACATGTTAAGCTTGAGATGCTTACTAGGCACCCAAATGGGAGCCGTTAAGTAGATGGATGGATAGTATATGAGCTGGAGGGCCAAGGAAGACAGAGGAGCTAGAGGAATACATTTGACAGCAACTGGTGTACAGGTGGTATTTAAAGGTAAAGACGAAATGAGCTCATCAAGGGTGTGAGTATAGCCAGAAAAGAAGAGCAGCGTGAGAGCCTTGTCTGGAGGCACCGTGATGCTTAGAAGCCAGAGAGAGGAGGAAGACCCAGCAAAGGAGATGGAGGAGTATCAGGCAGTGAGGTAGGAGATGTCCAGAAAAGCTAGTGCCTTGGAAGCCAAGTTAGGAAAATATTTGAAGGAGGAGAATCATGACCAATAGTAGCAAATTATGCTTGGGGTGTCTGTAAGGTGAGGACAACAGCAGACCTTTGTAGTAAACAAAATAAAGGTATGGGGAGCCTTGACCTAGGCAATTCTAAAGGACTGCTGGGGGTGACACCCTTCCCGTTGTAGAGGGTTCAGGAGAAAATGGAGAGAAAAGAACAAATGGCACAGACAATCCTTTTGAAGCACTTTTTCCTGCCTCATCAGGCTTTTAGACAGAAAGAGAATCCATGCATTCTTGATTAAACTGACACCAGTACAAACTGGAATCCAGTAATCTTATCAGTCCTATCTAATCTCATCTCCAAAGAACAGAACAAAGAGCAGCTAGAAAATTCTCAAGCACAAGTGTTCACTTCATTTTCTGCAAACAGAACTACCAAGAGAAATTCAACCACGGAGTCGGGTAGAAGTACTAACCCTAAATGAGGTGGCCACCTTGCTCTAATTTTCTTAGGGGAAGCTAAATAAGTCCCCTTTCTTTGTCAAGAAATCAAATTCCCCCCACTGTAAATCAATGCTTGGAAAAACAGATTAGCTCAGCCTTATTATTCTGTTCCCAGCAAAAAGCCCTTTACCGCCAGAGAACTTTAACCCCAGGGACCCATTCAGCTTTCTGAGTCATTAGGATCAGCACAGGTGATTTGACGATAAGGCCAGCTTACTGTGCAGGAGTCCTGGTAGGTTCGGGTGGGTCTCAGTACTTAAGGAGGAAGACCTGCCTGGAGGACAGGCCTTGGATCTCTAGACCCGCCCTCCTCTCTCCCCTGTCCAGAAAACTATGTGAGGGGAACGATACAGAAAAACTGACTCTAGCATATCATCAGTAAACTTACACTTTCGGACAACCTCCAACCACTCCCATCAGGCCAGGTGCTAAAGAGAAAAAAAAATTAAAACAATGTCCTTCTTACGATATAAGGGTTTGCTAAATTATTTAACCTCAGTGTCGGCTATCATAACAAAGGATTGATTTTTTTAACATAAAGTGCTATTAAGCTCTTCAGAAAATGCAAGTTAAAACAATGTCAAGAATTAATAATTAGAAATCAGTAAATGGAGGGCTCATTTGACAATTAAAAATTCTTGTGGAATAGAGTCAAGTTATTATTACAACTGAGAAAGCTGAAAGAGATAAAAAGGCAAATGATTTTCTTCAGGTTAACTGAACCACATTGTACTCATTTGCTACCTTCTTCTACTTTAAATATTTAGTTTGTAGAATTAACTATTTTAACAGCCCACAGAAACCTCAAATTTTATTGCAGAAAATCTTTGTTGGTTGTTTGTGTTTTTTAAATATTATTTTTTTTTAGCAAGAGGAGAAGGGAGGGAGAAAGAGAGGGAAATATCCATTGAGCAAACATTGATCAGTTGCCTCTTGTATGTTTCTTGAACCAGGGGACAGATTGCATGACCTAGGCATGTGTCCCAGCCTGGAATCTAACCAGCAACCTTTCGCCTTGAGGGACGTTGCCCAACCAACCGAGTCACCCTGATCAGGTCTGGTTGGGTTTTTTTGATGGGGACATCTCCTTGCTCCAAAAACCAAAATACAATGAGAGGTTTTTAACCTTTTAAAAAAGAACCTTTAAACTTGAGCAATAGAGAAAAAAAAGGAACTAACTTTTCTTTCTCTCTGTCCATATACACCACCTAGTGGATTCATAGTTTAATTAAAAACAAGAATGGGGAAAGACTACTGTGATCTAATAACTCAAATTACAGACATTGGCTAAATCATAATGCCATATAAAAACATGGCGAGGAAAGTATTATAAGAAAACAATAAGGGTTTGGCATAAAGAGTATCTTGTCTGGACATTAAGTACATCTTTGAATGTTATCTGGCTATTTAGGTAGTTGACACATCTCATAAAAAGGAAGGAAGGAATCAAGAAAATACACAGTGGGAAGTAATCATAAAGTTAAGTTACTCTGAAGAAAGAAGTTAAACTTTCATTTATAATATACAATTCTTATATGCAAGCATGCAATATTTAGGTGTGTTTCACGTTATATTTAGAGTACAACCAGCATTGAATATTTATGTGTATTTCACTTTATACTATGTCCTCATAGTATTCTAATACTATAAATTATAGGACCTTGGAAATCAATTAGTCTTGCTTTCCGACTTGACAGATGAAAGAACTGAAGCTCAGAGAAGTTAAGTTATTTGCCAAAAACCACTGCTAGTCAGCTGTATGAGCAGAACTCAGATCCCTTGGATCTTAACAGAATGTTTTTTTTCCCACTACCCCTCCTGATAAAGGAAAAAGTGGTACTCAGAGCAGACACTAAGTATCATCCATACAAATAAATATGTAATTGCATCCTTTTATGAGACAGACTAATGAGGGCACCTAATTAAGACTGCAGAAGCTTTCTCAGTGGAAGTCGCTGCTAAAAGGACAGACTCAGTAAAGGAAATAATCATTTTAGGCAGCAGGAAAAGACATACAAAGGCACATATACTTTCTCATGGTGGAGGTGAAGAGGAGATGGCTTGTTAGAAGGGACTAAAACCAGGGCCGGAGTGTGGGGAACAAGAAAGAAGACCCTGGCAGGCTGTCTGGGGAGCCAGACAAAAGCTGGCCCAAGAGCATATGTAGCCCTGGGCTGGGCTTTCTCCCCAATGCCGAGGGGTCACAGAAGGATGCTAAGCAGAGAAGCCTGGGGCCCAAACTTTGACTCTCTAAAGATCACCCTTTAAAACAATGTGTTTTGTGTGCGTGTGTGTGAATGGTACTAAGTCCAATGAAAGGGTATGGACATTAGGAATCATCTTTCTGTCACCCCTGTCCTACAACCACCCAGCTTTTTGTCCCAGACCTCATCGTTTTTTTTCTTCTTTACAAAAATTGTAGAATACATATTGTTCTGCATTTTGCTTTACTCTGTTAACTATCTTGGAGCACTGTTCATGTCAGCTCACAAAAGCCACAGAGCATTCAATTAATTGCCCAGGTACACCTGAAGGATATATTCCCAGAAATAAACGGGTAAGTCATAAAGGCTCTACATAATTTTAAGTGTGATAGATATTGCCAAATTGCTGCCCACAGTGAGTGAATTAACTTAAACTCCCACCAGCAATGTATGAGTGTCTATTATCCTTTAGCCTTCACAACACATTATCAGAATTTTTGAAATTTGACAGTCAGATGGATGGAAAATGGCATTTCGTTGTAGTTTGCCTTTCTCTCATGATAACAGCTCATATCCGCTGCATGTGGGATGACTTGAAGAGGGCCAGAGTGCAGTCGGGGAGACCGGTCAGAAGCTATGGCAGTGAGCCACGTCAGAAGTGGCCAGGGTATGGCAGTGGGGGTGATGAGAGGGGACAGATGCACACCCTATGTCGTGAGGGTAGAACCGGCAGAATCTGGCCAGTCACTGGGTGTGGGGAAGGAGAGGGCAGGATGTGTCAAGGGTGACTCTTGGGTTTTTGAATTGTGGTTATAAGAGCAAAGGACTTGAAACAACTTAAATGTCCACCCCAGGGGACTGTCACAGCCATAGGACAGAATATGACCTGGCTGTTAAGACGAATTGAGGAAATTAAGAGAAATGAAACTATAATCTACTAGGTTAGGAAAACAAGGTTTAGAATAATATGACTTGCATGCTATGTGCAAAAAAATGGAGACATTGTTTATAATAGTACTGTTTGTGTTCAGGGGGCCATCGGGGGCCCCGGGGAGTTGTGTGTAAGTACTTGCGCATGCACAGAGCAATACGAGGACTCCAATAAAGTGCTGACCTTCTGTAGGAAATTGGGAACTAGGAGTTGGGGTGAGAAGCTGACTTGATTTTCACTGGATTCTGTTGTAATGTTGGAAATCCGTACTGTGTGCATGTGCTATCTTTGTAAAAAGTAAAAAGTAAACAGAAATAAAATCATGCATCTTAACCTATGGTGATCACGTCGACTGCAGGACGCTGGTGCTGCCTCCCCTCTGCTGTGCAGACCTGCGTTCCCACACTGAGACACAGCCCTCGTCCACCTCCACCTCTCTGAATTAATTCTTCACTAATTGATGTCAGTGCCTTTTAGAAACATTGCAAGCCTCATGGGAAAGCTGTTTGAACTCTGTTTGGCTGATAATCTTAATCTGTTCTGCCTAATAAACTACATCATTGTGACTTTTTGTTTATCACTCTTGCTTCCTATTCATCCCAAGTTTTTCTTGCCCACAGAGAACTAAACGGAAGTCTCCAAGGAGCTTCTATATAATGTTTAGGATATGCAGTAGCTTAAATGAGATTAAAAAAAATAAAGTCAAGGGAATTTAAGGAGAAGAGGCTCAATAAGCAGATACGCCCTTTCGACACTACTATCAGATCAGACTGTAGAAATGATCTGTTCGTGACCTACCTTGACCCCTGAGGGTTTTCCCTGCCTAACGTGTTCTGTTATAGAAAAGAAAGTGGCAAAACTAAGTTTTAGTGACGAAGTGTCTACATACTATTACTATCGACATCTCATTACATAAAGTTGATTTGGAGCAGTACCTGCCGTATCATCAAACTACAGGGATTTGAACCTAGGTCTGTGCACAAAGCAGTAACATGCATTCACAGTGCGAACCTCAGGCCCTCGTCTGTTAAGTTCAACTACGTGTTTCTAATTCTTCTATTTCCTCTGAATTCACAAGATAAAACCAAAGAGGGAGAGTGTAGCAAACTGTTAAACCAAGGACCTTTCTTAAAGTGTTTTCCAACACGCTTATGAGATCAGTCATAATATTTATATATACTGAAGCACTTTGAAATCTCAAGCTGTGTTAACCAGCTGTCATTTTGATGCCAAATTCTGGTCATTTTAATGTGAAACAAAGGTCAACAGAGGGTTTGTCTTATTCTTTTCCTATTACAGAAATACTTTACAGTTATTGAACTCTGCTTAAACTCCCAACAGAAAGTCCCTATTGCATACCCCTGCTATCTAGCTCACATGGGATTTCATAATTGTTCCCAAATAAAATATATAGAATTAAGGCAAAGTAAAACATAAAATTAATATTTAAATACTATCAACCAAAAATATACTCAACCCAGTGTGGCCTCTGCAAATATGATTATTAGGAAACATTTACAGCTAAGCCTGATGACCAGCACACACCTAATGCCAATTCAGTTCTTTCTTTGTATGTAAAATGAGATGGCATACTCATTTTTTTCATTGCTTATTCTAGGAATGACACTGCAAGATCATACCAATTTTTGCTAAATTGTTGGCCTTTGAATATATATATAAAATACATTTACTTTTGGCCAACATCCACCTTTGTCTTTTTTTCAAAATTTTGACTCTCACCTTAAAGAATTCTGCCAATCAGCATCAGGATAATGAACTGTACAGGGTTATTTTATTATGACAATTAGCCATCCCATTGAAGAGTAAGGGCTTAGAATTACGCATTCAAATCATGACAAATGAGGAAAAGTATTTCAAGGTGCCCATCTGGTTCCCTTGAAGTGAGGGTTAGCCCTTCCGAGTGACACATTCATCCAATTCGTATTTTGCTGTCATTTGCACCTACTTCATTCATTCATTGAACATAAACGTACTGAGCACCCACTATGAGCCAGGCATGACTCCTGGTGCTGGAGAGTTGGTAGTGAATGGTACCTATCACTTGTCCTCCTTGGAGAGCTGACATTTTGGAAGGGACAAACAGTAAAGATATGACAAATAAATTATATCACTGCAGACATATCACTGCTGAGTTCTGATCAAAAGCAGTGGGGTAACTGGTGGAGGTGCTACCTCTGCGGTGGTGATAAAGACAGGCCTCTCTTTATCTTTATTCAACTCCATATTCAGGCACAGCATTTCCACATGTAGATTAATTTATTCACACCAACTCTTTTTGTAAGGATTAAAGCAATGATATTCCTCAACTTGCTGCATCTGGATTCAGCCCCAGTCACTTGATTGAAAGTGTTTTTGCCAAGGTCACCAGCAACATCCTTACTGAGAAACCAAATGGGAATTTTTTTGGTTTTTATCTTACTTGACCTCTTTGTAGCATTTGACACTATGACCATGGCATCCTCTTGACATCCTTTCTTTCCTTGAGTTTTTAAACACCTTCTGTCCTGGTTCTTCTCTCCTCTGACAGATCCTTCTAAATAATCCTATTTTGAAGGATCCCCTTTTGCAAATCCTTTGCATTGGATATGAAATTAGTACAAATTAGTATTGATGTCTCCTCAGGGCCCCCTACTGGACATCTTGAAGTGTCCCACAGACTCCCCCAAACTGCTTCTCCCCCATGTTCTCTTTCTCTGTGAGTGGCACCAACCACCCAGGGGTCCTGGCAGGTCCCAGAGGATCCTCGATGCCCCTCTCTCCCCTATCTCTCAAACTTGGTTCAGCCCTATAAATTCAGCTTCCTCTAGGTCTGTAATCTGCCCTACAATTAAAAAAGGGGCATAGGTGCCCGGATAAACAGTCATAAAAATAACTTGGACAGTCATTAAAGCCATTATATCCCACTTATCGAAATGAATATATCCTACTTTTGAAAGCAAAGAAATGATCTGTGAGTTGTGTAAGTGTCTAATGACTGTGTTGCGAACTTGAAACTAATATAATATTGTATGTCAACTGCAATTGAGAAAAGCTAAAATTTTTAAGTAGTTCAGATAGTGGTAAGTGCCCTCGAGAAAAACATGATGTGTTAGAAGATCTTAGGCAACATTAAAAAGGGCGGTCAGATTGCTCTTCTGGACCGTCAAAACTGAGGCTGGGGAAGAGGAGCCCCTTTCCTCCGATCTCAGATCAGAGTTGTTTGAGCAGGAGCCTTGGAGCTCACAGGGGCTGCTGCTCCAGCCTTGTAACACTGATCTTTACAGCCAAGGAAGCAGGAAGTTTAAAAAGTGGTTACTGTCTACTGCAATAGGAATGCCAAGAAAAAACAATTAAACAGAATATATATAAACCACTAACTACATCTAAATGGATTGTGCATGAGGAGAAGGGTACAAAATACATTCAAGAGCTTTGACATGACATATAAGTATAAAATCTAATTCAATCACTCTGATTTAATCATCAGAGGAGAGGCCAGCAAGATTAAAACAATTTAAAAATAAGATGCTTATGTAACAGTGTTACAAGTAAATTCAGAAATAACAATGCGACATTGTTGAAATATCTGGATTATTGACAGGATTTACTGCCATTAGTTTTGTGCACTTAATACGCTTGTGCTTCAGATTATAAAACCAGTAAGTTCATTTGTATGATGAACCGAAGGCCGTCACATTGATCGGCTGAAACTTTTCACACACTTCCCACAATCTAACGTCAACACAATATAACCTAATATTCAAAATGCTATCTGCATTCCACACAAATTTTAGGGTAAGCCACCAGTTCTTTGCCTCAAGGAGAAAATGGTAGATTTCCCCCCTGTTATACAAGCTATGTTCATGAAGTAGAAAATCAAAGGACCATATTGTCGTATTTATTGCTAAAAACAAAATATATTTCAATATGTTAATGTACTTTCCAAAAGAAAGCATTGTCTATATACCAACACAGTCAACAGCCAAGAAAAAAAGGGCAAGGCCAAAAATTCAAGAAAAAATATCAATGTTGTATTTTACCGATGATCTTTCAAGCCAATATGATTTGGTTGGGAATGTAATTTGGGGCAAAATGCCTGGCAAAATTGTTAAACCAATACATCCTTCCAGTTCCAATTCATCTGCTTTAAGATTTCACATCTTCCCCTGAAACTATTGTTTGTTTGCTATTAGGTCTTCATATGTTTTTATTTGGTTTATCCCTGCAATAAAAGTTTGAGCTCCCTGAATGCAGGTGTTCAGTCTATATGGCATTTGTGTCCCCTACAAACCCCCTCACAACACTGAGATTCACAAAATGAAAGCCTGAAAACAAATGCACAAACCCCGCATCCCATACTGGGTCACACTGGATCTCAAGAGCTGCACTGGACACAGAGTAGGGGTGGCTGACCGCCTCAAACCAATTCTCGCATGGCCATGCCTGTGGGACCCCTTCTCCGGTTAAAGACTCCACTCCTCCAGCCACAAGAGTAGGCACGCGAACCAAGCTCATGCGCCTTCCTCCAGCCTTTCCAAACTGATTTTGGGAAAGAGGAGTGCTTTCCCCTGCGCTCTCAGATAAGGAGTCTTGGAGCTGTCAGGGGTTGCTGCTCCAGCCTCTTGGCGAAGCTGGTCTTCACAGAGAGCAGAAAGGGGAAACAGTGAGAGGCCAGATCAGCCAATGCTGGCTCTACCCCTGCTCTTCCCACAGAGTAAGTCAGTGGGATTTATAAGAGCCAGTAAATCCCATCGACTTACTTTCACTAAGTCATGTCAGGATTCCATCACTGGAAGCCAGAATTCTAACTAGCACAGATGAAATCTGTGTTATTGTAAGGACTCTTGGAATCCATGAGGTCCAAAATCCTCATGTTAGGTATTAGGAAAATGGATTAGTTAGAAAGGTTAAGCACTTTGCCTAAAGTCTCACAATGGAATTGTAAGGAAGCAGGAAACTGTGGCAGATTCTGCCGGTTGGTTCTTCTCCATTCATTCTAACTCCAACATTTCCTAGTCTTCTTGCCACTGGGGCACTGGCATACGGCTTAAGTTCCCAGGAAGCACAGGCATCTAACCGGGACTTGGATGAGAAATGAGCAGTGAGAGGTGGGCACTGCATGCAGGGAGTGTGTGTCTGCTGGGGAGCAGGGTGGTGGAGCCATGCGTTCTTCCTATACAACGCAGGTGGACTTGGGCACACAGTACCCTACCTGTCTGGTGCAGCAGAATCTGTGTGTGCGTGTGTGTGTGAGTTGACTGAGTAGTATCCAAACTGGTGCGAGGGTTTTCCCAAAATACTGGGGGCCACCTAATAACTTTCAATAAATCTCTTTCTGCTTATAACCAGCTAGAGTTCTGTTTGAGACCGAGAACCCTGACCTATGTAGAAGTTGGTGTCTGGACATGGGATTGGATTACTGGGGGAAGTGGGGCTTGGGGCAGCGAAGGCACAGATACTGACTGAAAGCAGAAAGCTGGCAACTCTCACGATGTAGTGATATAAAATTGTGTCAAATTGTCCCATGCTGTGCCTCACAAAGTAGACCGTGTGCTATGAATGCTCCATTAGAAGAAACCATAACAAAAAATTTGTGCTAGAATGAAGATATTTAATAGAACTTAAGAATTCCTAAACCCCATCCCAAATTCAACATCCTTTGGAAATTATTTTTTTAGCTGCATCACAAACTTAAAAAAAAAACAGTGAAACACATTACAAATTTTATTTCTCTCAAACCTGAAGATTAATGGGTACCATACAGGAGTATCAGTCTATGCAGTTCATATGTTCAAAATGGCAATCTCGAATCATTGATAAAAAAGTAAAATGATGAGCAGTATTCTGTCTGAGAAGAAATAGGAGTGGATCATATACTGTACAAATATTTCATTGAGATCACTTTGTATTTTGCTCATGTGTATTGCTTTGCGGCTTAAAAGAAAGAAAAGATGTAAGTCCTGCATTGCCAAAATTCAATTTCTCCCTCCACTTTTCATCATTGGTAAAGGAAAGGGAAAGAAGTGGAAATGGAACAGAACCTTTCTCTGTAACACTAATAATCAGTAGAAAATTTTACTTCTCTTAGGAGCCAGAGGAGGGTGTCTGCCTTCTCTCATTCTATCTACTTCACCTCTCTAAGCCTCGATGTCTCCATATGTGCAATGTGGGAATTCAAGGCCCTTCAAATGTTATGTCCTGATGAATGAATGAGTTCGTTGGATTAGCAAAACTGAAACCTTGAGAAGCCTGGCCCTGTGAACCTGGCAGGTGCAACTTAGCTTCAAGGGGAAAGCGAGGGCGCTTAGGGAAGGGCCCTGCGTGCCAGGTTGGGGCTGTGGGACACAGGACAGCATGAGACCTGTTCACAGGGCCCCGGAGGAAGGCACTATGGCAAAAAGAGACCCTAATGCGGGGAAACTGGAACCCAGGATGGGGCGGTGGCGTGAGCACAGGAAACCGTGATGAACTCTAGCAGGTTGTTTTGTCTGGGATTATCACCTAGTATTTGAAACCCACTATTTCCAATACTCAGGGGGCTAATTAATGAATAGTGTACTTGATGACGGTGATAAGAAAGTAAGGGATTCTCAGGTTTATAACTGTAAAAATATGAATACTTACCCATTCCAGTCACTGCTGGGGCAACTTCTCTTGAAGAAATTTCCACTGCTTTCTTCTCTTCATGATGTACTGAAAGCTAGAGGCTACTTCCCGAGGACCCTATTAATACAGAGTGGAAATCCATAAATGCAGAGATCAAAATAAGGCACAAATCTGTATTTGCATACCACAGGAGAAGATGTTTTCTGGTCCATATAAATATTTCTGTTTGAATGTTTACTATAAGCAATTTATTATTAAAAGTTTTCCTGATCACGTCACACGTGTCCACAAAACATCTTATTAGAAACGGTGATAACACTCCTAGTTCCCTGTAAATTAATCATAATTACTTTTACCTTAGGAATATAACTTGACACACACTAAAAGCAGGTTGGAAAATGGCTAAAATTGTATTTATAAAATTCCTTTGTTGTGTTTTCCATGTATCCTCTCTTTTTTTCTCTTTCAAATCATGTTAATAACCTGACAGTGAGTCAAATATGAAAAGCAGATTCACACTCACTCCCTTTAAGGTGATGCTGTCATGACTGCCTGGCACACGCGTGATCAAAGGTGATGCTGATACCAAATTCCAAAAAGCAAGGGTGGCCAGAAGGCTTCAAGGCTCACACATTGAAGAGCTTGGCTTCAGAAAGTCTCCGAGGGGGTTGCAGGCGGCAGGAAAGACATGAAATTTAAGGGACCCTCAGAGTACAAGGCACGGTTGCTGGGTCATCAGCACCTTGAAACATTTCTTGATGGTGATTCCGTGTTGAGAGTCAGTCGTTGGGGAGAACCGAGCAGGACGGGCCGAGCAGGTCTGTGGTCCCGAAGGGTCAAACTCCTGCAGGGTTTAGATCTCGTCTCCCTGTTCACTGAGGTAACACAGGAGAAACACGATCATGCAGAAGCTGGAGGTTCCGATTCCGCCTGCAGGTCAGTCTACCTCCTGGTATCTTCTCTTTTATTTAATTGATGCCTATTACTTTCTTCACAGGACAGTTGATTTTGAATAGTATGTGTAAAACTTCTACGGCTCAATTTCTCCTGAAGAGTAAGTATTTGTAACGTAGATGACCTATAATCCTCGGGTAGTTTATTACAGAATGAATCGATGTTCCTAGTTTGAAACAGAATGAACTATAAAAGTAGTACATAAAAATGTCATTTAAAAATTTTAAGAATCGAGCAATCACTTTTTTTGAAATGTGTGCTCATTTGCAAGGGCCCCAGAAAGAGTAAAATTCCAAGGTTTAGCTCTGCCTCTTACCCTGCTCATCCTTCATTACCAGTTCATGTCTCCATAACTTTATCTTCCTTTCTAGGAAAATACAGATCATATCAGCTTTCTAACTACTTCATATGGAGTTACTATTAAGATAAAATAATGTGGCATCAGATGTGAAACACTTCTTTAAGTACAAATATGAGATATAATTATTTTAATAAGACCAATAAATTAAACTACTTTTCCCATTAAGTGTGCTGTCGATCTCTCTAAAACCAGCTTAATGAATCTATCTACTTGACAATTTAATTATGTGACTCAATACAGGTTCGTGGGCACAACATGAAAGACAGACATGTACATTGTTTCTAAGCAAGCTTTAACAAACAGCCCCTTCTAAACAACAGATTAATAGTCGGGTTTTGCAATAACCTTTCAGTTTTAAGTTCTATATTCGCTAATTCCAATTCAATTAAATATGGCAACTAAACCACCTAGCAACTAATAGAGAACATATTTTTTCATGTGCAGTGAAATATCTACACTTTGACACCTGGTCCCTGTTTCTGGGTTTTATCAAGCATCTAAAAGTTCTCATATAACTCTAAATAGCCTCTAGGTTTGTATCCTGACCTTACCACACACTAGTCTACAAAATAAAACACAGGAGTTCTTGGCATTTGGGGGCTTTATAAAATGAAATGAATAACAGGCTCCAAAAATTATGAAACCAAGAATACTTTCTCCAAAATAAAATATTTAGCCAAGAGTTTGTTGATCTTATGGTTTTACATAGAAGAGAAAATTCCTAAACAGAAGAGTCTCAATAAAGATTTTCACACAGAATACATGTTATTTAATGTATAAAGTCTATAACTATTATTTATCTCTTCTAAAATTTAATGAATCATCTTTTTCATGTGTTTACTCAAGCCTTAATAATCCAGTTACAAAAGATGCAGATCTTTTTAATTGACTCTACACTGACCTGAAACTCTTGCTCCTAGTGGTTTAAAGAACAAATGATAGAAGACTGTAGGGAGTTCAAGATGCGGCCCTGGCCCTCATTAGCTGTGTGACCATCGGCAATTACTCAACCTCTCTGTGCCTAAATTTCCTCATTTATGAAGTGGAAATACCAACACTACACCTAAAAGGGTTGTTGTGAGAGTGAAATGACCACGGATAAAGCATTTAGGACTGTGCTGGACTCATTAACCTCTCAGGTAGTGCTGTGATTGTTACCGCTGTTACTGTCATTTCCCGCACATCTTTCCATTTCTGATTAACGATGGGCCAAAATATCTTCAAATAACCCACAATAAATAACATGACCAAAGCTTTGCGAATATGACTATAGAGGTAAGAAGTCCTAAAGTCCTAAAAGTTATTCAAAAGGCTTAAAGATGTGAATAGAAAGTTATGTGAGACACACCTATAATGATGTTGTTAGAAATAAGTAGACGATAGAGGAAAAAACTATCTAGAAAAGGTCAAATTAATTATCCATAATTTACCGAGACATTCATTGGTAAGACCTCATTTTGTTTAATTTGACCATTCATGTTGTTAAAATAATCTCAAAATGCCTTGGATTAAATTAGATTAGTGAAATTGATTTTTAATGGGTGGTCACAATAGATTTGACATAATTTCTATATTGGAATTTTTTAATTTAAGCGAAAACGATTCTGAATCTCTTATGCCTTTTCTAGTAAATAGCTAGAAAATTTCCCACGAGAATGGAAGAAATATTATTTCTGTTTTTGTTGCTAAAGAATAACATACATTGAGAAGTCATAAGAAATAAAAAAATTAAATATTCAGAGCTCTCTAAACACTTTCGAAGAAAACCAAACATTTGCTATCCAAGAGTCTCATCATAACTCAGATATTAAAGGTGGATTAGAAAGAAAGGGAACAGAACTGGGCTAAGTTTTGCCTTAGGCAAATAGAAAATTCAAACCAAATAACAAGCTTGTTATGGAACACAGATTTTAAAAACACACGCTGTGAGATAGAAGTGACCCAAAATTCACAACCCGTTAAATCTCACTCAGGTTGGTCTTCACAATGAATGCCTTCATCCGTAAGTGATTAAGAATAGTCCAAACCATTCATTTACATTGGAATAAGAAATGTGCTCTTCTACTTTGTTTAAATTTGCTTTAGCTTGTGCTCCATACGTTTCTTCAGATCCTAAAATTTGAACATGAACTTCACTATAATCTTCTAAACCAGCTTTTTCAAACATAAGATGAGTTCTGTAGTGAAGTATATGTGAAAAAAAATAATCAGGAATTTATGGTTGGTCAATTCCAGCATTCCCTTAATTTTGGTTCCTGATAACTATCACCCAACTGGGATATTGAGATGTCAAAATCAGGCACAGTTGAAGGACTGGGGAAATTGAGGGCACTTAAGGGTATCAGGTCACTCTGAATATCAGTTTTAGTTTCAAACCACAACAGTTGGTATGTTATAGCCTCAATGTCCTTATTTTCTAAACAGCCTGAAATTGACGAGTTTTCTCTTTGACCCAATAATTACATGGGGAAGCACTTTCTATGTTTCTAAGAGATCAGAAGTTAGTTTTTTGTTGTTGCTTGAAGTGTTGTTATTAATCTATTATATTGCATGTGGTCAAAGGATGTTGTCTGTAAAATTTCTACTCTCTGAAACGGTGGCCTTGAGGATGCTGGGACACGAGGTACATACTTGTCTTTTGGGGGAAAATGTCCTATCTATAGCTGTTAATCCAACATTATTATATTATTCTAATACTCTATGTTCTCTTTTGGTCAATTTGATAAATATTTGTATCAGTTAAAACTTTTTACAGCAACTGCATATCTCTCCATTTCTCACTAGGTATCCAGTAGTTCTGACCGAAATGACCCAGTGCTGTTTGTTAGCCCAGCGAAGTGCACGACTGCTGGGTCTGTATTGTGTCCGATACATTTTAGGACACTTAAATCATACTTTACTATCAACACCATCATCCTCTATCTTTTTCCTTCTCATTTTCCTCCTCTTCCTTTTCTTATTCCTTGCCTATTATGACATTCTTTACTTTTTTCAATTGTTTTATTTCCATGTGTATTATAACACATAGTTGTTCTTTGATTTGAATCTATTGTAGGGGACTACAGTTGAGCAGTTTATAACATTTATGTTTACCTACACAACTATGATTTTGACTTGAGATCTTGTTTTATGCTGTTTTAATGTTCATTTTGTTTTCTGACTTTTAGAATAGTCCCTCATTCATTCAACAATATTTGTTGAATAAGGTGTATCAGAGATTGTGTCATGCAACTGTTTCTGTTGCTTTTTATTTTATTGTATTTTACTAGGTGTCTGAGAAGGTACTTAAAAATTTTTCTGTTTAAGCATCACTTAACTGCTAAATTTAAATGATGTTCCCCTATTATTTTTATAACACCCTTTAATATTTATTCAAAGTACTTTTTGATTCTCTATTTGTGGGTTAATAGTCTAATGTCCATCCACATACTGAACTCCACTGGGAGAGGCACCAGTCTGCTCACAACTGTTTATCCAGGGCCCGAAGTGATTGGCACATAGTAAGTGATTCAAGTGTTAGTGGAAAGAGATAATTAATTAATTGATAACACAGAATTAAAACTTCAAATTATAGTTTTCTTTAATTTAAAAACACATGGATTCTATATCAAGGAATGAAATCACTGGCTATTTTCATTCACTTTCTTGTTTATATATATTTTTATACTTTAAAATGTTTTACGATCACTATTGCTGATAAAGAATGAAATAATGTGATATGAGCTTCTTTCTGTTAAAAAAGAAATTAGCCTGAATTTTTCTTTTTATATCTTTCACCAATACCTCCTTA